AGAACGATCTCGACGTGCTCATCTTGAAGCACGACAAGCGCTTCATTCGCGACACATCCAAGTTCTCGAAGTTTAGAGAGTTGGCCATAATACCGGGGCGCACCCCAGGCTTGAAGCTATTGGCAGACAAACTACTGGGTGTAGAGATTCAAGTCGGTGCTCATAGCTCGGTTGAGGATGCTAGGGCTACCATGGCGCTGTTCAGGTTGGAAAAAGACAGCTTCGAGCACGAGATCCGGCAGAAGTATGGTAACATCCGCCTCGACGCAGCTGGGCCAGAAGTCGACGTCGGCGGTGGTGAAGAAATGAAGAAGAAGAGCCGGAATAGGAAGAAGAAAAAGAAGAGGAACTAGTAGGCTGAGACGTGTACTCTTACAGCTGCTGTTGTTCTTGATCTTGCTGCATTTACTTGGAGTCTTGCATGGCACGGATACCCTGAAAAGTTTACGTGTAATTTTACATTTACTATTGGATCATGTACTGTCGGTAGCTTTGCATCTTTGGCCAAGGTTGTTCCTGTGCCCACCAATACATCAAATATTCTCTCCATGTGTATCTAGCAAAGAGACTGCTTCCGATAAAGCCTTCACGTGTTTCAGTCCATGTCTGGGGCAGCCTCAACCCGAGACCGGGAGTATCACAATGGAGTTGAAATGTGCAATTGAGGCCAGGACTTTTGCACTCTGCCTCGTCATGCAGGTTGCCGACATGCTAATGTCCGTACATCCGCCAGACTGGTACCACTAGTCTGCTACCATCTTCAACTTCACCAGAAACTCTACTGGATTCTCTGAGCCGGTCCGAATTTAAGGAGGGCACCAATCTTGGCGCCGCCTGCACTCGTCCGACACGTGAAGCTTGACGATATTCGGCTCGGACCTTAGCGGAGATAGCATCTACCATGACCAGATATCCCCGCATTGAACATGGGAGACCTTGGGATGGTGTTCCTCCACCGTCTTACCGCCATCCGACAAAGATCGGCCCCGACAACCGTCGGCAGTCTCGAACTTGGACGCAATAGACGAAGAGACCGAAGATGGACCCTGAGGTACTCCAGCGTAACATGTCATACGCATGTGAAGATTCAGGAGATATAAGAAGAGGCCGAGTCCTGCAATAGGCCCCTCACAGTACCTCGCACTTCCATCTCCATCTCCTAAACTCCACTACCTTTCCAAAGTTTCCCAACTACTTTTTCAAGATGCCTTCTCCATTGGGTGACGTACCCAAGGCTGCGTCCCTCCTGGACTTCCACCGCGTCATGTCGCCCACTGCCGGCATTCGCGTTTCTCCTCTTTGCTTGGGAACGATGAATTTTGGCGATGCGTGGGAGGGCATGATGGGGAAGTGTGATAAGAAGACCGTGTTTGAGATTCTTGATTTCTTCCACAAGCAAGGTGGAAACTTCATTGATACGTAAGGCTTTATACCATCCATTTGGGCACGTCGTGGTGATGATGGAAGCTGACATTGTCATAGCGCAAACAACTACCAAAACGAGGAGTCTGAGACCTGGATCGGCGAGTGGATGAAAGAGCGAGGCGTACGACACGAAATGGTCATAGCCACCAAGTTTACCACCTACTTCCCTGACCCAAACAACTCTCCCCGACAACGTATCAACTACGCTGGTAACAGCACGAAGTCGCTCCGCGTCTCGCTTGAGGCATCCCTCAAGAAGCTCCAGACTGATTACATCGACCTGCTGTACGTGCACTGGTGGGACTTCACGACATCTATCCCTGAGTTGATGCAATCGCTTAACGCCGTCGTCAACTCTGGAAATGTTCTATACCTCGGAATCAGCGACACGCCTGCCTGGGTTGTCAGCAAAGCGAATGAATGTAAGTATAGATATTTGGCAAGACTTCGTATCCGTAACTAACGAGAAATTCAGATGCCCGCAACCACGGCCTCCGTGGCTTCAGTGTCTACCAAGGCCGCTGGTCCGCAGCCGATCGTGACTTCGAGCGTGAGATCATCCCGATGGCACGCGAAGAAGGCATGGCTCTGTGCCCGTGGGGTGCCCTTGGTGGCGGCAACTTCACCACCGAAGAGAAGCGCAAGAACAACGAGCAAGGTCGTAACACTGGCCCAGCTTCCGAGAAGCACATCGAAATCTCCAAGAAGCTCGAAGCCATCGCCGACCAAAAGAAGACACAGGTCACCAGCATCGCCCTGGCCTATGTACGCCACAAGTACCCCTTCGTGTACCCAATCGTTGGCGGCCGCAAGATCGACCATCTTAACGGTAACATCGAGGCGTTGGCAATCGAGTTGAGCGAGGAAGAGATTGATGACATTGATTCCGCTGTTCCTTTCGAGATTGGCTTCCCAATGAACTTCCTGTTCGAGTTTATTGGTAACAAGTACAAGAACAACATGACCAGCTCCGACGTTGGTCTCCTGGCGTATGCTGGACCTCTGGAGAGCGTACCAATACTGCAAGGCCCTAAGCCACACCCGCTTCAAGGATACGGAGGCAACTAAGAGCATGGAAGCTAGATATTGAACGTAAACGATAACCGGGCCTATAGCTTCATGCATGAATCAAAGGAGTAGTCTGAAAATTTGATGTTTACCAGTGATACAAATGTCTCGCTTCGTAAATGATTCCTTCCCAGTCAATTCTTTTGTTGACGGAGACTCACCCTCACCTTCCTAGTAGGACCAATCAAAATCCAAGCGGGGGCCCCACTTACACACTCTTTGCACTTTCCAATTCGCTCGCTCAATGCAGCACAACACACATCACGCCATGGACTCTCAACTTATTCCACTATCCGATTTCAGACTATCAGACCACTCAAAAGCTGCATTAAATCTCAATGGCTCCCCTCTCAGCATCATCGATCCATCCAGTCTCACCCCCGAAACCACTAGCGAAAACATTACCCCAGCAATCGGTCTAGCAACAGTCTTGTACAAATGGCATCCGAACGCACTCGCAGCCTTTCTAGATCTAGATGCCTGGTTCTCCCTGACGTGGACACTTAGCATCGCCGAAGGCACACCCGAAGGATCGAAAATCGAGATCGGGCGCATAGGCAACCAAATCACTTTCGGCAGCCTGGACAGCAGCGGCGATAACTGGACGTTGATGCTTACCTACAACATTGTCCTAGAGGGCGAAGAGAGGGGGAAGTGGATACCGAACCCCAAAGAGAGTATGTTAGGCGAGAAAGATGTCACAGATCCAGAGGAGATTGAGAAGCTGGGTAAAGAGTTTGCGGAGAAGATTGTGAGGGAGAAGAGGTGGGAGACGGGGAAAAAGATGAAGCATAGGTTCTTTGTGGAGTATGCGCCGATGGATGTTTGGGGTGATGGGATACCGATGAGTCCGCATTGGCTGTACTCTTCTCTCGATCTCTCTAAATGTACGGCTTGCAAGAAGACGGGTGTTGCGTTGCAGCGGTGTGGAAGGTGTGGTACGTCGACGTACTGTTCCCATATTTGCCAGAAAGGGGACTGGGCGGTGCACAAGGATGTGTGCAGCATGAGTATGGAGGATAGGGGGCAGGCGATTAAGTTGTCGGAGAAGGGTGGGCTGATCAAGTGGGATGTGGAGAAGACGTATGCGAAAGACGAGGGGGAGATGAGTGCGAATCCGAATTTTGAGATACCTCAGGTGAAGCGGAGGATTATGCAGACTGCCGAAAGTAGTGAGAAGAGCGGATGAAGAGAAGAGAGCGATGTCATTTTCGAGCTGGCGGAGCATATATACCGGTCGCACTAGTCCACTGTTTCGGAAAAAGCAGTTCCTAGTAAGGATGTATTGGTGAGCGCACGTATCGCCACGTTGGCATTGCTATCAATGGTCATGTAGCCAACAGCGCGTCGGCCTCGCCCCATAGTAGGGAACAATCAGGCGTTCATTGCACCAAGAGATGGAAAATGCGAAAGTACGACTTTGCAAGGCCTTTTCGATTAATGCCTCAAATCAATACATCGCTTACATACTTCTGCTGTTGTCGGATCCGACGTTTCAATACTACCGCACTTTGTTCCACGTAGATATGGACGTATGTCCGTGAACTCTCCCATCCCTCGTTTGCCCCAGTATTTCCCTGCTCAATAAGGTTGCGTGCCTTTCCCCACCTCCCATTAATCCAATGAGGGCTCTTGGTCCAGTGGTAAGACACTCGAACGCAGCGCTGGGGTACCAAGCCTGGCACTTAACCGTGTCAGTGTAGGGGTCAAAGATGCCTAGCGCACGCTAGGATCTAAATCGTCGGCCCCAAGGCGAATTTATTCGCTCTTGAGTCTGTAGCAGACGAGACGCAGAACCTTCGAGAGACATGCGTTCGATCCGCATAGAGCCCGAATTTTTTTGCGTCCTCTAGGGCTTAGACTGCGGGCTAGATATCTTAGGTATCCGGGCTTGGCGCATTCGATTGTGCTTGGTATAGTTGTGCAAACCACTGATCTCTCCTCCTGCCTGTGGCGAAGGGCTGGGTGGTGACAGTAGGTGACAGTAGGTGACAATATTTTTGATGCTGAACATGTAGACTGAGTGGGTATGTCTCTTGTGATTTGGCTGCTTGCTTGCGGAGTCGCCATTTTGTCCATATACACCAAAGCGTGAGGTTTCCCAAGTCGACCGCCATCTGCCAGGTAAAGGTGCGCATCCGATGTGATGTTCTCAATTCTTCTGGGCGCTGAGACTCGCCCGAAATTCTCTACACCAATAGTCCTCGGTCTTTATACATCAGATTGTTCATTCCGTCATCTGGTAACAGACCAAAGAGCATTTGGTCTAATGGTATGACGCTCGTGCTAAACTTCCGTAGACCTTCTCAGGAGCGGGCACTTAATCGTGCCTTGGACTGTTGATATCTTTCTAGGCCCACTCCGTTCATAGTCGGTGCAAGTCTGAATCAGATGCGGATAGAACGAGAGATCTAAGTTCGAGTCTTAGAATGCTCATCCTCTCTTTTACCTCATTGGTGGATGTGGCGCGTGTCATTGTGGTGGTAGTTTGGCATCGTTATAGTCTCTCACTTCTTGGTCTCCTTCTTCTGTTCTTTATCCCACTCTTTTTGCTCCTTCATAAACCTCCCCTTCTTGTCCACGTAGCCCTCGTGCAGCTTGGCCTTATCCCAAACCTCCCTGAAGATGATGCTAGCCTCCAGTTTCTCATCTTGCCCCTCATGGCCCTTGCTTCTCTCTAGCTGCTCTCCGGTCTTCTTGTCGTACTTTCTTCCTCCAGCATGATTTGCATATCTCTTCGCCCTGGTCATTCCCATCTGCAAGAACTTGCGGGACATGTCCATGCCAACGAAGTCATCGTTCTTGTCGTATTCAAGAAATTTGGCGTAGATTTCAGATGAGGACTTTTGCGCGATGGCAGGTGTTTTGAAACGCCATAAAGGGAGGATCTCGGACTTGTATGGCTCGAGTGTCAGGACACCTTGTTCGCCGCGGCCAATGCGGTAGCTCATCCGCTGGGCTTTTGTCAGAGGTTCAGAAGGCATCTTAATCGCGTTCCTGATCATGGACTACTTTGTTGGATGCTGGTGTTCAGGTCAGAAGCGGTGGCAGCGAAGGGAGGTGGCTGGTGAGGGTTCATGACGTAGTGGGTTCACGCTACGCGACGCGCGAGCACGTTGCTTTTCCTTGCACTACCCAACACGCGTCAGGGTCCCGCTGCATGCACCAGAGCACTGTGATAAACCCTCTTGAGGCACGTCCTTCTGCTTCCTCACGAATTACAGAACAGCACTATGATAGACACACATAGGAGTGGATGTTGGGGTGTTCGACCAGGACTTGGTCCTGCTTATATACAGTCTAATGCAATCCTTTCTAACATCGCGGTATATGTACAGGTGGGTGGGTGGAGTGGCCATACTGGCGTGGCCGTCGTAGCTCCGTCTGTGGGCGCATGCATCCGTGATACGTTTATTCGTTGGATCTTCTCCCAAACCTCCTGTTATTGATTGTCGTTCTTGCCCCGGGGTTTGCACACCATCTTCTCGACTCGTTGCAAGATGGTCAGTTGTTGCTCTTCTTTGCCCTCGTCCTCTTGTACACCCAGCACCTGCCCAATCAGACCGCCGGGCTTGGGCACTGGGCATTCCCTCTTCGCCGCCAATTTCTCTTCAATCAAGCGCTGCCTTCTCCGCTCCTCACTCATGACGCCATTGCAACTCTCGTCTTCCGGCACTCTCCGCCGCCGTCTCCGCCTGTTCTCTCCTGTGGGGTCTGCGGAATCGGCGAGTGTGCGAGGGTCGACCGGGCAGGGTATCAGATGTGGAGCGGCGACGACGAGAAATGAGACCATGAGCGTCGTTCCAAAGAGCGAAGTCGTCATGCGCGACCGCGGGTGGAGGTGTGGAGGCATAATGTGTGTGTGGGTTGAGAAATTAGAGAGCGAATTGCGGAGGCATCACTGGGCCTGGAGAGTCGTTAACAGCTGGTGGATGGGATTGCGATAGTCTCTCAGAGCATACTGTGCCAATTGAGATGCCTCGAGCAGATGTGGACGGCAGGGGAGCGGGGTTGACGGTGGTGATGGTGTTCTGGTGGAGTGAACATGGACGGCGGAGCTAGCAGCTCGGGCTTGGACCGACATCCCTGCGCATTCGCATGCCCGCTGTGGATCTCTCGCCCTCGACCTCCACCAGCCCACCACCTTGACTTGTTCACCTGCCAAAGAGCTCCCGCCCTTCAACATTCGCTATCTTCAGCTTAATAGTCCTATACAACTATCACATAGTCACGAGACTCGCGCATTCACTGCATCTGCAACGCGCCACACGCGTACCGCCACCCTCCCTACTGTTCGCGCCCACCAGAATCTTCCGTTACGAACAGCTCGCATAGCTGCAAACGCATTACGCACGCAATTGCCAACCGAAGACTTTATACGTCCCGAAAGCCCTGCGCGGGCGTATAGCGCATAGCCGTCGCCATGAGCGCCGGTGGTAGCGACCTCGACAAGTATGGACAGCCACTCAGCCGACTAGGATACGTACGATGTATTGGGCTGACACTGATCGCAGAGCTATTCAGCAGCTTCGCGCATGTCGTCCGATCCCCGAGAACCAAGTCCGAGAGCTATGTTACAAGGCACGCGAGCTGTTGATCGAGGAAGGCAACGTGGTTGGGGTGGATGCGCCAGTAACGGTAGGCACTGTACTGCGTCGGCACTTGGGCATAGCTAATCGCATGGCGTTGCTAGATATGTGGTGATATTCATGGCCAATTTCACGACCTGATGGAGCTCTTCCGGGTTGGTGGAGACGTACCGGACACGAACTACCTCTTTATGGGTAAGCCAACCGAATCCCGCCATGCTGCTCCGCACTGACTCTATACAGGCGACTTCGTTGACCGCGGCTTTTACTCGCTCGAATCTTTCCTCCTGCTACTATGCCTCAAAGTTCGATACCCAGACCGAATAACGCTCATCAGAGGCAACCATGAGTCTCGTCAGATCACGACTGTCTACGGATTTTACGATGAGTGCTTACGGAAATACGGCAGCGCAAACGTCTGGAGGTAGATCGCATTCCCGCGCTCTGGCTGTAGAGACAATGCTAACACTGTCAGGTATTGTTGCGAAGTCTTTGATTATCTAGCCCTCGGTGCTCTCGTACAAGGCGCCGCGACATCGCTCCAAGCCACCGATGGCCCGATAGCCGAGTCCAGCAACGCAGAGAACATGCCCGACATCGACCAAGATATCGAGATTGAAACGCTCAATGCGAACGGCGAGGTTATGTACCGCTACGCACGCAACTCAGACTCCCAGTCAAGCGCCGCCTCGCAAGTAAGCGCAAACATGGGCTCCTCGTCCCCCGTCGCCCCAACACCTGGACGAGTTGGCCCTGCAGGAACGGGTGCAACTTCGTCTGCCAACGGCTCAGCTCGGAACGATACCGGAGCGATCTTATGCGTACACGGAGGTCTGTCGCCACTCGTCGACTCAGTGGATAAGATTCGACTTCTGGACCGGAAACAAGAAGTGCCACACGAAGGAGCCATGTGTGATCTCCTATGGTCCGACCCCGACGAGATTGACGGGTGGGGCCTGTCACCGCGTGGTGCAGGCTTCCTATTTGGAGCCGATATTGTCAAGACGTTCAACCATAAGAACGACCTCAGTCTCATCGCAAGAGCACATCAATTGGTCATGGAAGGTTTTAAGGAGATGTTCGACTCAACAATCGTCACTGTCTGGTCAGCACCAAACTACTGCTACCGTTGCGGCAATGTAGCCGCCATCTTGGAACTTGGCGAGGATGGATCAAACGCTGGTTTCCAAAGGAGGTCGAATGGCGACAGAGCAGGCGGTGGTGGAGGCTGGGTGCTAGGCTCCAACGCTGGACCAAACGGCGAGAGGCGACTGAGTTCCGTACTCAACGACACTTATCAGAAGAACAGGGACGGTCCAGGACGGCGGTACCGGGTATTTGAAGCTGCTCCCCAGGACTCGCGAGGCATGCCGGCGAAGAAGCCAGTAGCGGACTACTTCCTTTGAGGAACGGCGACATTACCGCTGGAATTGGAGTTGAACAAAGCTTGAGGATTGGATACCATGCCTCGTTAGGCCATTCCCGCGTTGCTTATCGGATTGCTTCAGAGCACATCCTGCAATTGAGCTTGGGCGTTTGGAGTTTGCAATAAGAGTCCAATGAAGTTAATGGGGCGAAGACACCTGGCGCTTGATGCTGGATGAAGAGATGAAAGACTCCATTGTTGCTATACCGTCACCGGACCGACGCTTATGTGCCACCATATTTCTGTCATGCCTTTACTTCCCCCAACGCATTAATCGTACAACAGATCTGACAACCCTCCGTCCATGCCGATAGCCAACTCTGATGAAACCCTGGAACGCCGTGGTATGTTACGAAGGTTGGATGCGACCACTCTCCCAGGCACAACTACATCTGATGCTATGCATCGACGGCGTTGAGGGTCGACCTCATTACAAAGTCATCGAACTAACGCAAACGTTCGTTAGCATCCGGAGCCCAGGTGTTGCGGGATCTTCTTATCGTGTACGGCTTTTACGTATCCCAAAGTCCGTGAGGACGAGGGCGCGACCGTGATTCTCGTCCGTGTTTCCAAGCTCAACATCTGGTATCTGTCAGAAGCAAGGCTAGGATAATGTTGAAGAGCAAGCAACATACCCACTTCCGAGAGCGCGGTCTGACGTCGGGACATGAATTTGCGCAAGAAGTATGCCAGGAGAGGGATACACGTGGCTAGTAAGGTTACAAAAGCTATGACTGCTTCAACCGACCAGGAAGACATGGTAAAGTTGGTATGATGACAGCTTGTGATGGTCTTGAAAGAAGGTTGTGTTGGGCAAAGAGCGCAACCTCCATCCCGTCTTTTATCATATGCTTGCTCGGAAGCAGAATCTGCTATTGCAGTCTCTACAGAATCTGCAATGGTGCTTTTGAAGGTTTTGCATGATTGGACAATATGGCTGCGCCTCCTGCCAGCTCGGCCTGACAGAGTAGGTCGTGTTTACAGAATCTTGCTCTAACCAGATTGGGCGACTTGTGGTTGTCATACAGCTCAAGATTTTGTTGTGTAATCTGTCGGTGTTCTGTGCTGCCCGCAAGGTTTTGCACAATTGGTCAGTTTCGCCATCGGTCATTGCGTCGTTTACAAAATCTTGCAGCAGCTCTATGCAGCCAGGTTTTGCATGATTGGTCGGCGGGTGCGCGGCTGACTGAGATTGGGGAAATGAAGTCGTGTTGTTGGTGCGCATCAGACGTGGCGGACAGGCGCAGTATGCGTCAGGCACGGTATGAAACCCAAGCTTGACCGGTCACATATCTAGGCATGCTCCAAAACTTTCAGCCTGGTCGTTACCCTACCTACTTCTTCCTCTCTTCTCCGCAGCCTCAGGCTTCGCTGCACAAGATGAGCAACACCGTCAAGACTGACAGACTCGATGAAACAATATGGGATTGCTATCGTGAAACGATCGAGAGTCTTTACTGGGAAACGTCACTCGATAAGATCGATGCCCATATGAAGAAGCATTTTGGTTTTGTCGCTAGGTATTTCCGCTATTGTTGCATTACGAGGAGAAGAATACTAATGCCAAGAAGCAAATCACAATACGAAAGGCACTTCCGCAAATGGGAACTACGAAAGAACCTGACTACGGTCGAATGGGCAGCCATCATCAGGTATTTTACGAGGAAAACGATTGATCTTGAGAAAGTCGAAGTGTTGTTCAAGGGACGCGAAATTCCCCAGAGCAGAGTCCTGCAGGAGATAGCACGGCGCAGCTCGCTCACCAACACACTACATGATGGTATGCTCATCTCCGTGTTCTAGTTTAATCTTTGAAGCTCATCATATCCAGGTCCTCACAGGCTTCCCAAGGACATCACCGTACGACTACGTTCACGCGCCCCGACCATGGACACCGCGAACGGCCTTCAAATCATACCGACTCCTGTCACAGGCTCTTTCTCCTCTTCTACGCAATTCGAGTCTGACCTTAGCCTAGCCATGATACCCTCACCTTCTGTCTACGGCCGCAGCTTGAATGCACCCACCTTCGTTGCTGAATGTAGCTTGCCATTTTCCTGGACGCATTCTGTCGATTTCGACTTTATCTCACAGAGCCTCAATTCTTCTCAACAGTTGGTGAAGTGGACGAAGCCTTCTAAGCTGCAGCTTGATGCGATCTTCCATTCAAACCATCGGCCGCTCGTGGACACTACATATGGAAGCCACAGTACAACACTTCTCCTGTACGCGATCGCATCACTCGCCAACAACGTATCGTCGGGCGGGCGTACAACTTCGAATGACGCGTACGAACTATTGAAGGCACTCCCACTGAGTGGATTTTCACGAAGCTTGAAGGCCCTCCCGGCTCCGATTCTAGACGCTCTCAAAGAAAGAGTGTTTGCTACTGCCGTCAGGGTTGGGGATGCAGATCTTGTGTCAACTATGCTGGAGCTGAACATGGACCCTCGCGAGAAGATCATGATGGACTGCTCATATGGCTCGGAACCGACCTACCCACTTCAGTTTGCCGTAGCTGCAGGTCATTTCAAGGTCGCGAAAACGCTCAGTTTGCACATGTGTCGAGAGGCAACTCATGTACAAATTGACGAGCTGCTTGACCATGTTATCGACGGGAACAATCCCAATATGTACTTCAGACTCAGGGACACAGAAACCACAGAGCTGATGTGCATCGCTCTCCGCGCTGGGGCCACGCCTCGTCGCGAATGCCTCCGGAACGATTATATTAATGTTTCCATGTCTTGTATCAGGCAACTGATAGAAGCTACAACGGCAGGGATTGTCGCATGGCTGGAAGTAGGCCTGCTGGAACACTGTTGCACCGAATGGCACCACTATCGCGTGGAAACTCAAACAACATGCGCCAAAGACTTTCTACTACTCATGTTGCACGATGAACGTAACTGTCTACCGACGAAAGACCCAAGTCTCAAGACAGCAATCTTGGGGGCACTCAACACTGCTCTCCGTCCGCACAATGAAAGCGTCGTGGGGATGATTCTGGAGGCATTTAGTCTTCTCGGATATCGGCTTGACGACGGATACACACACGTGAGCGACATTAGTGCGCCTGATTCCACGGATATATCAATTCTGGAGGCTTTCCACAACGCAAAGTGGAATCGATCAGCGTCTTTGCTGATAGCACAGAAGTCAGCACAAAAGTCATCTGAAAAGCCCATGGCAACTCCATTTGAGGGTCACTCGGTTAATAGATCATGGTCAGGACTCCATGATGCCATTGAAAAGAATGATTTAAGTCTTGCTTTCCACAAGTTTACCCTGATGTTGCCAGAATACATGCACGAAGTGTATGGAAAAAGACTGTTCAAACTGGCGATCACCCACCGTGACTTCACTAAGGCGATCATCATCACCGAAATTTTGGAAACAAACTCCCCTGGTGGGGGCCCAGAACTGCTGACAATCTTACTGCGAGATGGTCAAATCACGGCAGTCAGTACCCTTCTGATGCGACATCCGGTTTGGAACTCTGTATTGGGAGCTGCGAGCGGGCCCCATGATGCTGGCCCTTTAGAGACACTACTCTTCCATCGCTCAGCAGTACCGTTCTGTGGGATTCATAGGGATGAACCGAGTATCTCAAGGCAGTGCGAACTGCAGTTCCGCTTCCGGATTCTTGCTTACCATGTTATGGCAACGAACGACTTCAAACTCTGCAGCTGGTTGTTCCAGCTTGGCATGGATCCCGATGAATTCTACATCTATCGTGAGGATGCAGGTGGGCTCAACATTTTCAAAACCCCAGGATTACACTGCTGTCTTTCTGGGGGCATATGCACGCTGCCTGTATATAGCGAACACACGTTACCCTCCCTTCTTGCTGTCGCGGCCGGAAAGAATCACATAGGCTGGATGAAGTTTCTTGTAACCGAAGGTGTCCCTGTCGTTGACTCGATGGCGCTGTTATGGGCTATTAGGTCAAGGTCGACTGTGGACACATTAAATTTTCTACTAGATGCAGCAAAGGCAAGGAAGTCTCCACTTGAGCAAAGCAGGTATGGTGTTGCAGCACTTCGCCAAGCGATTCGGTACCGCGACATTACTAGGATCGAGGTTCTGTGCGGTGGCGTAAATGCCGATGCGATTGAGCCATTCATCGAAGAATCTGAGGAAGGAAAGCCTGCGATCAGTCCTCTAGGTGAAGCGATCATTGCGAAAGACTCGGAAATAGTCCTGGTGCTGTTGAAGCATGGTGCTAGTTCAAACGCATGCGTATCCTTTGATGGCTTCGGGATGTTGGAGCACATCAAGAGCCACATGCAACGAGTAACTCCCTTACTGGCCGCTATCGACGTACAAAGTCTCCCCCTGGTCAAGATATTGGTGGAGCACGGGGCAGAGCTACAGTACACACGCAACATGGGTATCAGCCGCACACCTTTGCAAAGAGCCGCCGAGACGGGTAGCTTCGACATCGTGGAGTACCTCGTCGACCAGGGCGCCATCATCGATACAACTCCAGTATATTCCGGCGGTACCGCATTGCAACTAGCTGCCATGAACGGGTTCTGCGGTATTGCAGCATTTCTGCTTGAGCACGAAGCGGATCCAAACTACCCACCGGCCAAGGGCGATGGGCGGACAGCCTTCGAAGCAGCAGCAGAGTGGGGTCATGTAGACACGATGTCGCTGTTGATGCAGTGGAAGGTAAATCTCGATGCGCAGTTTGGGGAGCCTTCTGAAAGTCAGTACGAACGGGCTCTTGATTTTGCCAAGGAGAACGGTTTCATGGCGTCATCGCGGTTCGTCGAACATCTCTATGGGCAAAGGACAAGAGACGAAAGTTGGCCTGCGGGTTTGGCGTTGGATTCGATGTGATCGATCTGCTGGTAATGCGGAGAACTGCGGACATCTCTAGGACTCGTCTTGGGTTAGTTCAATTAGAATGCGCCACTCATATCTTACCTAGGTTTACAATATTAGTATGCTTACTAACTTGAGTGTCGGGTATGAACTTGGCGATGGCTGGTGGACCCAAACTATGACGTCTCATTAAGATGTAGCTATAAGCTCAGCTCACTAGCATAGCTACCACCTCGTTCTCTCGACGTCTTTTCACTTAAATCCTCCATGTGGACAAGTTCGACCTCCTCGTCGTTTTCCTCGTGCCGGACTGCAAAGGTCCTGGTGTATGTAATCGTGTTGGGTTCAGCGGCCAGGCCTTCTTTCCCACCTCTGTCACTTCTCAACGTGTCTAAGTTCTGAGTTGTACCACGACTTCTTCTACTGCCGTTTCCGTTCGCGCTGCTTCGCTGGGTGCTTCCTTGTATCGAGCTGATGACCGAAGGGATTGCGCGGATGAAGATCAGGCGGAGAGTCGGGATGCAGGCGCAGATTACTCCGACGTGGAGCTCGTACATGGACCACAAGACGACTTTCGCTTGCTTCCATGTATAGTTGTTGTCCCCGTCGAAGAAAAAGAGCGATTTCAGGCGGAGGATGGATACTACTGTGACACTGCGGAAACGTAAGCTTGGGGCTAGATGATGTAATGTGGGCTGGAAGGGCACTGACAAGGTACCAAGAGAGAACATCAATGCCACGCCGAACTTCTTCACCCATGTCATCTGGAGATGATAGACCTCATATAGAGGAATAGCTATCATCCAGAGGTCCAACACAATGCCTATAATGGCATGCATCCATACTACCGCATCCATGTTCAGACATTTTGTTGGTCTCTCCATGTCCCATCCCGTCCAGAAATCACTGACCTACATTACCAAGGACGAAGTTAGCTGGTGTATCGTGCACCTCGTGAGTGAGCTTGACGTACCGGTAAACATGGCATCGCGGCGGGAATGAAAATGGAAAAGGTCCATAATCCAATAAAGATGATAGTCCCCCACAAAAGCTGTACTGTTCGCCGTCTGAGAAATATCCGTAGGAAGAAGGAAAGGAGCGTAATCTTGACCAAGGCAGCCTGGAGGAGGTATAGTAGAGTGACGACGTATAGCCATCGTATAAAGTTGTCGATGTGGTCAAATGGAACGTTCCAAATGTCGATACCAATGCCATTCGGAAGCATACATCTGTCGACAATAACGACAGAGGGTACGGCTAGAACCACCGTAGCTAGCACGAGGAAGTCGTCCCAGTTGAGCCCATTGACGTGGAAAAACATGTGGTAACTAAAGCGTAAGATGATGCAGGAGCCTGTCACTACGGCCAATACGATGTTTGCCACGCGTAAATGGGTAATTTCCGAGCGAACAGGCACGTCGCAGAGAGCTGAAGTTACGTTCTTTGTGGCTGGGAGAGTGTTGTAAGCAAATGTTCAGTGTATGGTGGCATATTGAACTTACTCAGACTCTCTCTTATTGTACACGTCGAAATTACGCATTTTTCCGCTGCACTCTGAAGCTTAGCGTTGGCACATACGCATTGCTTATCCGAAAGCTGGCAGGGTGATTCAACTACAGCTGTCGCCAGGCACAATTGCTACAACCATTAGCAACATATCATTTGACCCATGTTGGCTGTTACATACCGCGCAGCTTGGAAGCGAGCCGATCGCCTTGAGCGCGGCGGCGTCCTGTGCCACCGCGATCGAGGCCCATGCCGCGAGGACCAGTAGTAGGTACAGCGGCCATCTCATGTCTCGTCTCGTCCGGCGACACACAGTATCCAAGTCGAAGTCGTCTGGCAAGAGGTGGGAACAAAGAAGGAATCAACGTTCCAGCAAAGGGGCCTTCCCGCTTGCAAGGCCGCGATTTGTATATATGCTACAAAGGCTTGGTATGGCTGATCCGATCCGCCTCGTGGCTTCCTGCAGCGTTGCGTGCTAACAAAGTTTAAATGTGCGGTACCCTTGAGTCTCCCAACCAGAGGAGCCGCACCCCTCAACGTCGTCCAACGGTTCCGTGTTCAGCTGGACTGCCACCTGCGCAGCCCATTCCGAACGTTTCTTGACAGGAGTAGTCTTGTAGCTGCATGTGTGCTGTACAGAATGCTGAACGCATCGAAGGATGTTGTGCTGAAGTCGCTAACATCTGCGCCCAAAGATTTTGGACACATGGGCTAGGCCGGTACCCTACATGGAACTGGCTTGTTAAACTTCGACGGTCCAGTCCAAACGTCACAGACCAGCCGAGGCAGTGCTAGACCCAAGGGGATGTCGGGAGGTGAACTAACGATGTCGCGCAGTTTATGCGATCATGCGCAATTCGTTTCTATTTCCACCCTAGAACAGCCAGATCGAGATGGTGAGGTAGAAGTCTCGCGTGCTTCTAACCGTTTCAAGGTGTCATCGCCCTCCATTTGATATCCGTAGTAACCGTCTCAGTCCTTTCGAAACGTGCTCTCCACATGTGGTGTGACCCGGGTTATGCTGATTTGGGTGGCGCGTTCTTGTGGTGGCCGTCTCCGCGCGGAGTAAGCCCCGAACGGTGGTTCCTGCCGCTTCGCTAGCGCGCTACATGGTTGGGGAGTCCGCGCACGTCAACGCCTCGCGCTTCCACCACAGCTACTCTATATCGGTACCCGTTTGACATCTGTCCAATCGCGAAACAGCTCTAGTAGGGATCTTGTACAAACCGAGACGAGAGGTGGCAAGGAAACTCTATACGCGATCAACAGCCCCAATGCGGTTTCTCATGCCGAGGCTTGCCAGATACTTTGGTCATTGGAGGGCGAGTATAAGAAGAAGATTACGACATCGAATCCAAAGCAGAGGAAACGAATATTGAAGGAGCTCTCGTTGTTACGTTGATTATGTCCACGAGTGTGTGGAGCAATTCGACTTCGGAGTCACCGACTCGATTGCTTTTACCCCCATCAAATGTACACCATCGTCAGATCAGACCACATCGTTGTCCATGCAGGAACGGCACTACGGCTGCTTTAGTAGCCGTCAGACACCCGCTCGTAGCATGTTCATGGAGTCTTCCGCCCCAGTACATTGACACCATTCCATGAATTCGTCCAAGCTAGGGACGACCTGTCAGGTACGCATGAATCGCGTGAAGTATGCGGCCAAACGATCCACTATAGCCTACCGGATCTATACGACCCTTTGAAAGAATGGGTTCCCAGTCGAAGAGGCCGCTCGTTGTATGCTAACATTGCACGTAATCTTGTGGCGTATAAACTAGACTGTAGACTGAGAGTTAGTTCTGCTGGGCGCGGACGAGCCCAACTGTCCTCCGAGGAGCCTCAAACTGTATCAAGGGTCTGGCCGAGTTAGTACTTTGACGCAATGCAGGCGTACCCGATGCCTCACGTCCCGTACACGTGGAGCCGAATGTGAGGGCCCGTCGTTAGGTAGGCTTGTGCTTAGCTTGCTTCTAACAGTGGTACAGCACGGCGCGGCAGGGCGCGATTGCCATTGTACAACTCGATACCATGGCGAAAAGGGATCGAAACTTTCATGGAACACTGCTGTCCTAAGCCAGGTTCACGGATATGCTAATGCAGGCGATATGTCGACATCTCCATCTTTTTATAGCAAACCAATAAATATAGTAAGTTTAGGATATTGGCGAGTCCTGGTATTCCTGAAGGATGTAGAGCAACAAGCTCTACTAATGCGATAACGACTAAACTTCGCAAACAATGTGATCGTGAGGCGGTGTGCTTCTACTTGGCCGTTGATGGATTGGCAATATATTCGATTGTTGTTGCACGAAAAAACTCGGGAAATCAGTGGTGGGTTAGAAAGAGAAACACTGGGAGCATTATATGCGTTAACTGGAGATATCGAAGACGCAGAAGATGGCAAAAGCTGGAGACACTGTTTGGGGCTAGTTGGACGTCGCAGATACTCGCATCTTGTACAGCCTTACTTGTCACGCATTTCTTAACAGCCATCCGCTACTGCCTGCCCTAAGGTACAAAAAAAGGGCAAAAAAAAGCTGGAGATGCTTCTGCTCGAACCTGGTTCGTGACAGACTGACCAGCAAAAACATACAACAGCGAGGACCTAGGAACACGAACCAGTCCTGACCAGTGCGCAAGCGGGCAAAGACTGAAGGCCACATGGAGCGGACACCGGGTCCAACAAGTAACTCCCAGCTCTTCCAGGTATGCGATGCCACTACTTGATGGCTCTGTCCATCAGTTCAAATTGAAAGCCAGGTAAATATTCAAGAAAGATATGAATGTTCAAGCAACTGAACTACCAAAGGGCATATGTTGGAAGACAAAAAATGGGCAGTGTTGAACCTGGAAGAACCCCTTGGTCGCGCGTCGGCCAATGAGAGCGGGTATGACGTTTAGCGCGGGAGCTTGGCTGTGGTTCCCTTGCAACGTCTCGTCGCAAGCCGACATTGCGCAGCACCAACCGTACCCGCGAGCTCTATCACAACCAGCTGCATCTTCATCTCGTCCCATCCGCCTCCGCCCCAATCCGTTGCGCCCAGTCGTCAAAGTGCGGTTCCCACACCTCGCCGGTCAATCGTCCGCCATGGATTTCTCAGACATCTTGTGAGTAGAGCTCGAGCTGTGCGAAGCTGTCCCGAAGCTAGGCAGCAGCTTTCCGCAGAGCCATTGGGACTTGGGAGTGTCGAGGATCAAAGCTAACTGGGCCTGTAGTCGCATGGTGAATTTCGCCGTTGCCGTATTCGTGGTCCTCGGTGGTATCGCGAAGTTGTTCCCCTTCAACGACTTGTGAGTGTACCCGGCGCCTCCATCGGCAATCCAATCCCGTCGCATCGCCTCTCCCCGTCGTACAACCTTCGGATGGCGTACTTTATCTGGCGAGCACATAATGGCAGGCGCGTGTGGATGTGGAGAAGAGTGCAAGCTGTCAGTCGAAGGTCACTCGCTAGCCTGGTCCATGTCCGTCTGGGCCTGCGCTGGGCTTGAATACCATACACGCGAATGTGCGCATCCGTGACGACGCACAAGCATCGTACGGACTGAGATTGCACCACCAGTCATGCCACCCGAAGATCGCGAGCGAAGCACACAACCACATCAAATGGCCTAGGAAAGCGCTGACAGTCTGCGCAGCTCTCACATCATCCTCGGTGTATACCTGATCATATTCGGTCTCGGTAAGATCGAGCGTCCTCTCGCTGCCACATGCCGCTGACAAGCAACAGGAACTGCCCTCCTCGAGTTCCAGATTCCCCAGCAAGTGGCACGCTATGCCTCCTTCATGTTCTCTTTCCTCGGCCGCGGCATCTTCTACATCTTCATCGGCTCCGTCATTGTCGGTGAGCGCTGGTTCCGCATTGTGCCAGGCACTATCGTCGGCATAATCGGTGTGGGCTACGCCGCTCTGGAGTTCATTCCTTCCATTGAGCCGCCAGCGAACATGCGGTACGACTCCAATACACTTTGAAAACGTGTCTTTCATGTTACTGACGATATTGCAGTGATGCTGACGCTGGCTGGGGCGCTGAGCAAGTCTAAGTCCGCAGCTCGTGGACAAGAGGACGGCGGTCGAAGAGTCCTCATTCGTAGATCGCTCGCCCTGTCTAGGCTCGGTAGAAACCTCGTCGCGCGCTTATCATGTATTAAACCAAGTATTACATGTTATGGACATGTCTGGCGTAGAAATGGTCTGCGGACCCTGACGGAAAGGGTTGGTTCTGTGCATTGTGTTGGATTTTCAAGGTTGGCTCGATCATACCCAGGTTTTGGTTACATGGGTTGGGGAGGAGCTTTTCAGTCGGTGTATGATAGGTTATCTGATCTAAACGAGGCTGTAGTCGTCACACGTGTTCGCTTGTCTGTCTAGTGTCCGCAGTGCATGAAGCGAAGAGGCTACTAAGGCTTGCATTTCTACTAGTGTATCATGATGGGGCTCATTGCATTCCATAATAGGTCTTCAAATCTAGTATGTTGTAGTTGTATAGTTACAACAATGATAACGCCGTTCTGGACGAGTTGTTTCGCCCCCCTTCGATTGGTGCAAGGCTGCGTGAGTGGCGTGCGGAGAGCAACCATTACAAATCGCTAGTGGTAGGCGAGACGGATCTGATCCGCCGACAGCTGGTCTATGGCGAGGCTCAAGTGGAGTCCAAGACTGATAGAGCCGATTTTTCCTTTTTCTTGCCGCCGAGCCCATGTATCGGAGATAAGGGCATCCGACTTGCATTTGAATGCATGTACCTGAGGGTTGGTTGGCTCTGCATCCAGAGATATGCAGGTGCGACGCGCGAGACGAATGCTCTTTCGCCGTTCCTGAGCTTGTCTTATGGCTATGGCCGCCGTGGACGTGCTCTCAGGGTTGTCGCGCTAATCCTCGGCTTAGAATAGCAAAGTCTTGATTGGCCACCGCCGCCCATTCACCGCCTAAGAATTACAGCTTGTACCGCACCAGCACCGCCAGGCCAGTAGGCAACTTGCGCAGAATTATGACGACGGGGATCCCGAGCGCACCTGATATCATCCCTTGCTAGACCCATCATTCTTATAGTCGTTTGCCAGCCATCAGTGTGCCACACCTCCTAAAGGTTGCCCAGGTGTCTACAAAGGCCCGAAGACCCGCATATCACACCAAGTCACGTTAGCGCCTGCTCCAGATTGACCTTCACCCTGATCGGATATCAGATCTAGCCGATAGCAAAGTCCGAACACTTATTTGGATCGAGCAGCTCCCATTCCCGGGCTGTAGGAACCGATTCACGAAATCTAGGCAACAGTGTGTCACCACGGTCGTAAGCCCACTCTTCTTACACGCACACCCAAGGTCACCGAAGACTGGCCTCATGGCACATCCTCCAGGGAGCGGGGGCACCTCTTTGGCTCCAACTCCGACACATCCCCATCATCTATCGCGAGAAACGAGCAAGGACGAGCTAGAGATGGCTGAGAGTCTACGATTACTTAACCAGGCCCACGAGCACCACAGACCGAGGACAGAGACTCCGTCACAGGAACAGCAGCAGATTCACAGCCAGGAAGACCAAAGACATGAGATTTATCATTCACTCGAGGATGCGGTGCCCATCTCAGAGCAACCGGCGAACCCGGCAGACTCGACATCTTTACAACTGCCCAACATGAGCTATGACGCATCCAACGCGCCTGTTGCCGGACAAGTCTGTAGGTACGTTGTCTGAAATTTTGCTGTGTGCTTGCCACCACTCAACAGTCGCCCGATTACAGTTGAAACCAGATCTGCAGAGAAGACGCTAACGGACCGAAGTAACTGCAAGACAACACAAACGCCGCTTTGGCGCCGATCACCAGCTGGAGAAACTGTGTGCAACGCATGTGGCTTGTACATGAAAGCGCGGAATCAATCACGTCCCGTGAATCTCAAACGCAACACTCAGACTCAGCCGATTATGCCCGTGCAGCAAAGCCCAACTCCGGGCCCTTGTGACGGCAACCGAACGTCACCGGGGTCCCTTGCGGCTTCGCCCCGAGTCGCGACCTACGTTGCTGCAGACCAGATGACAGCCGGCACATGTCCTGGTGGGGGCCGATGTAATGGCACTGGCGGTCAACAAGGCTGCAGTGGCTGCCCAGCGTTCAACAACCGCGTGTCCAAAACTGCTAAATTCGCATTGGCCCAGGCGAATGCTGCATCAAGTGACGGAACAAACGGAGCAGACGCTGCATCCAGTGCAGCGGCAGCAGCAGCTTCTACAAGTGCTATTCCCGCATGTCAAAACTGCGCAACTACGATTACACCACTCTGGAGACGTGATGACGCTGGTCACATAATATGCAACGCCTGTGGTAAGTCTATATCTGCTTAAGGGACTGACGAAGGTGACCGTTTGCGATAACTAACTCCAATCCGCAGGACTCTACTACAAACTGCATGGAACACATCGCCCTGTCGCAATGAAGAAGCAGGAGATCAAACGCCGGAAACGGGTCGTACCAGCTGGTGACACAGGCTCCCAAGCAGCGCCTTCTGTTGCCGACTACTCCCCACCGCAGCGTCCGTCCCAAACCCCAGCATTCGAGCATTCCGTTTCCCCAGACCCGTCGACGGCGCTAGAATCTCGAGAAGACTATACACCCGAACCTAGAGGACCAATTGCCGTTGATTTCACCCACTATTACGGTAACGCTTCGGTGACCTCAAATCCGGCCACTCTTATACCGAATACACAACCCAATGCCCCATCGCCCCGCAAGCGCAGTCGAAGCGCTACCATGGACCCAGAAGAGACCGCCAACCCCATGCCTCATCGACCGAACGCCATCTCGTCGATATTGAACCCGTCTCAAGCCGATGTGAACGCCAATATCGACCCGTCGCTATCTGTGCCACTACGTCCGAGTGCGGGCTCGTCATCTAATCCTGGAGTCTCGCAAGAAGAGAAGGCAGCTAGGAGGGAAAGACTGAAGAAGGAAGCGGAGGCTATGAGACAAGAACTAGAGAGGAGACAGAAAGAGTTAGACGAGTTGGAGAACGACTGAGGTGTTTGGCAGTTGTCATTCGAAATGCAGCAGCAGAACTGGGCACTGAGGTTTCGCGAAAAGCACGTGCGCCAAAAGCGGTTCCGTTTGTGTGATGGCATACACATTTTCTTTATATGCACAAGATCTGATGGGTTAGAAGACTTCCAACGACGTATGAGACCCGAGTGTTCATTATCACTATCGTCTAGTCATGGGTGCAAGGCGTTAGTCTGGCGGTGGAGGAATACTCTATCTTTTCACGACAGTTTCACGAATACCACAATCATCAAGACACCGGGGTCTGCATCGTAGCTTAGTCATACCGTTACTTCCTCGATTTATACATTGTTGAGGGCATACACCCCAGACATACGCACTCCCTCTAATTGTACCACAGTCTTGTACTGTTCGTACTGTGGCCTCGATAATGATGTCGTTCTCGCTTTCTATGCCAATATCTGAGACTATGCCGAACTGGTCGTGTTCAAACAACGCGTTCTAGAAATTACAAGAGTGCATGATGATGCTCCGGTTCGCCATATCCTTCTTCTCTGATGTCAGGCCTGAAAACTTCGACGTGATAGTACTGTTTACCTACTTGATACGGAGCAAAACAGAGATATTACTTCCGACAATATCACTTTGACTGCCCGGGCAGCCACGCAACGGCAGCGCAAACTCGCTTTTGCCCACGTGAAACATCCTGAATCAGACGTTCAGCAAGTCCATGTCAAGGTTAAATACTCTACTTTCGCATCCAAGTAGCAGTATGTTACTAAGAAGCTATGTGCGTACACATGAAGCCAGTGGTGCATAGGGCTCACGGTCGAACTTGAAACAATCTTAGACGTTGCAGCTTTAGGATGTGACTCGAGTGGCATAATGGGACGAAGCCACCTTAGTATCACCAAGCTATAAGTAGGTGATAAGACTGGCTGCTCCAGTCTGTGCTGGTAAGCCATCATTTGTTCTCAGACTCAGACAAACCGCATAAGCACATTTCGGCCCTTCTACGATCTACGCTCACGGAAGCTCATGCCCATCGCTATCTCGCCTCGAGCTCTTATCGCGTACAATTGCGATCTTCAGATTCGCTAGCGAGATGATCGGAGAGACAAAGCGGTTCCCTCTATCCATCGTCGTGGTAGTACCGACGGGCCGTGCCGTATGACACGATGAGAACATCAGCATATGCGTCGATCGTTTCCGAGAACAGGGGATGATAGGTTTTGTGCCTAACAATGGCAACGTTTCTTTTGGTGCTAAAGTTACGAAAAAGTTATCGTGTCTCCGGATGTCGCAGATGGTGAGGTCAATGGCGCATTCGGACGGAATTTCCCGAGTGTGCAAGATAGATGCGAATCGAAAGCCGAGTTGTGCCATCGTAAAAGCATGTCCAGTTCGAAAGAACGTGTAGAACTATTCATCACTTATACAATCATGCGATGCTGCAGTCATGCGTTCAAAAAGTCGAAGTGTGGGGTGAAATTGCGCGATATAACAAAGAGGAAGGAGGAAAAGACGTCATACCCAAAGAACGAGAACACGACGACGACGCAACCCGCCAACACAGACAGGTCGAGCTAGGTGGTAACGGACTTCTACCATGATCCGTCAGCATCGTACTTTTTGGTACGCATCTTACCACCGCGCCGCAAGTCTCTGTCTATTGGCTGGCGTTCAGCACCGCGTTTCGACCTACAATCCACGCTCTGGAGCTGCAATTGCCAGAAGCAGCAATAAACCAGGGACTTTGGATCTCGATACCAAATTCTGAGATCGAGGATCGTGAGTTTGGGTCGTGAAGCGACGGCTCTACATAATGCCATTCCAATCAGGTCCGAAGCTGGGGTGTCGACTGGTGTGGAATCGACGATGAAGACAAAGCACTTGGTAGTAGCGCTGGGGGTCCGAGTCACGCTGCACCACGGATGGATGTTGATGTGGTGCATTATGAAGATGTATATCAAGGCATTCCGGCTGTAGACTTAGTAGACTGACTGCGTCGCCCTTTCAAGCTCTTTCATCGCGTTCATGGCGGGGAAGTTGTGATGTACGGGACGTTCAATGTGGTTCCCGCACTAGGCCTGTCAATCCGCTAACGTCAGGGTCTAGATCCCTCCGCTGAGTGCCGATCTGTGCGATATATGTATGTAAGACGCTCACCTCCTCGGCGTACCTTTTACAGTTGCATCAGCTGCGCGTCATGCTGTCGCATTATTAGCTAAGGTTGCAGGGCCGGTCTGCGAGAGCTGCCACATGGGAACATGTGTGCAGGTACGGGCCGGTAACGATAGTTTAGCGCGCGTGGACCGACAGCCTTATTTTGAGATTTGGCTGCAGTGAGGCCGTGTTGGTGGAGATTCCGTGATAGACATTTTGAGAGCAGGCTGTGTTGTGGGAGGTTCGCAATATACCCGAGGCTCCAATTACTGGCGATACAAATTACACAAGTCTGATCATACTGAAGTTCAGGGTAGGAGCAAGAGCTTGCTATTTTCCGATGCAAATGGTGTAGAGCCATCATGGGCTCTTTTTTACATGATCTCAATTGCCTTCACATCTCTGGCCCAAGCTTGGTGATTGATACGCGACATAGCTCGTAGCCGCCATAATGAGATGGAGTCCAGCCTGATCTCTGCTTACATGGTCCAGCTCCGTGTGAACTACGAAAGGAGACATTCATTGGAACCTGTGCATAAGCGAGCTATTGTGGGCATCCCGATATCGATCATCCGCCATGCAGTTTGCGCACGGATGGGGAAAGAGATGTATGAACCTAGGGCCCGAGGCACTCCACAGCTCGTCTACTGACAATCAATCACTATCCGTCGAACGAACAGTTTTCCCAAACGTATAGCGAAAGCCGTGGGTTGGGTGTTTGCTTCGAAGATCAGCGTACTACAGGGATAATGAAGTGGCCACATGAGTGGCTTTCCACCCGCAACAAGGCGCATGCAACGGCGTTGGAACGCTTAGGTGCATATAGCAGCGAGTGAAGCTGCAGCCGAACTGGTGTACAGCGAACTGGCCGAACAAGGTCATCATCCGTGCCGACGCGGGCAGGGCGTACTTCCCGTTTGGGGACACTTTGGGAATAGCCTAAACAGCGGCGGGTGTAAATAATTGCTGAATATCCACATTGTCGGGCCGCGCCTTGATTGCAGTTGGACAAGAGAGAAAATATTTGTCAAGAAGGACCGCAAAGTGGTCAAGTGAAGCGAACCGATCTCCAGGACGTGGAGGTTGAGTTGACGTACTGGGCACGTGCCACACGTGTTGCGGATGCGGCAAGAACGGCGCATCGGGTTCTGGGAAGCAGCCCCAACCTAGTGTTTCACGAAATCATGGCGATCTGCAAGTTTTGGTGTTCGTCCGGAGAAAAGCTCCCTGGGTCAGTCGGCCCTAATCCAGTCGCTATCGCGTCGCTTTTGAGACACGCGTGTGCATTGCCGATGCCCACTTGCCTCTCTCCTGATCGACTTCCCCTCTTTCAGTCGGGGTGTAGGCCCTGAAACGGCCGTGCAGGGATAGCGCCATCTCTGTGATAATCTACATCCAATGGCGACGCCCGGGCAAGGCTCGCGAGTCGAAACACCACGCGCTTGTGGCTCCAAGCGGATGATCACTGCGATTGCATCGCCGCTGGTCGCCGAGGGATGTGAATGCACCGCCAGCAGCAGTCGCCATGCAACGTGAGCTGGCAATCTGGATCAAAGGTGTTCGTGCGGGGTGCGACAGCACGTCAAGACGTGCATGAGGGTTGTATTTTGCCGCCATGCTGTAGCGAACGGGAAGTGTGGTGAGCAGAAGACGAGGCTGAGTGGTGATGCGAGTAGAGATGAATTATGTTCATAGAAGGTAGGTAAAGTTAAACGACCCTAAAAGCTGTCAAAAAAATAATGAAATCTTTTGACTCCCCGAAGCGTGCTGCATGGTGCCTCGCATGGCATGCCGACAGGAGGGAATACAGTGTACCGATCAAAATGCCATAAAGAAATCGGTCTAGATAGATGAACGCGAACACGAAGAGCGCCACCAGATAAGAAAGACGGAGTCGATACCAGTAGTAGAAGTAGGGTGTTCGGAGGCGCATCCAGCAGACGTGAATCCGTTAGCCCGTAATGCGAACCCTAAGTGACAGTATCGAAAAGAAGAGGTGTTTGAACGACAGGCCTTCGTAGGCGAAGGTGAGCTGACAGTACGTAACAGTAGCATCGCGTGTTTTCTTCTGCTGGCCCAAGCAGCACCGCCAATGGCCAGGGCGGTCGACCGAACCCAGCGGTGTAGGTATCTCTCCACAACAAGAATCATGGCTTCCATCTCCTTACATGACTGTGCATCCACAGCAGCCCTTCTTCTCGGCCTGGTCATCGGTGTCAAATGTCTGCTTTGTGGGGCCATTTCCATTTGAGCCAGGGGCACCTGTGTAGGATGACATTTCCTTGTTGTATCTGCGGATCTCGCGTACGATGTCGTAGAAGGCGTTGTCAACGTTGATGCGGGATTTGGCCGATGTCTCGATGAATTTGCAGCCAAAGTTGCGCGCCAAAGTCTGGCCCTCTGTGCAAGGGTCAGCACGTGCAGGTGGTCAGGGATGGGATGCAAACGTACCTTGTGTCGAGACCTGCCTCTCGCCGTCGAGATCGCACTTGTTGCCAACGACGATCATGGGGAAGTAGTCCTTGTCCTTTACTCTCAGGATCTGTTGCTGGAATGTCATGATCTCCTCGAAGCTCTGCCTGTCGGTTATCGAGTAGACGAGCAGGAAGCCCTCTCCTGTGCGCATGTACTGCTCGCGCATGGCTGAGTACTCCTCCTGGCCGGCTGTGTCGAGCACATCGAGCAGCGCAACCTCGTCGTCGATGACGCACTGCTTGCGGTACGAGTCTGGCGCTGTTAGCTTGCTTTTGCGCATGACGCGGCGGATCGTAATTGCTCACCCTCGATGGTCGGGTCGTACTCGTCTACGAAGTGGCTCTGGATCAGCTGGATAGTCAAACACGACTTTCCGACTCCACCGCCGCCGACGACTACCAGCTTGTATTCTCGGAGAAACTGGCGCGGGTTAGCAGGGGCGCGTGCGGCGCGGGCGGTGCTGGGCGCCTACCTTTGATGCCATTGTGAATGTGAGGGAGGTGCCGGACGGTTACAGGTCGCGGGCGATGAATTAGGGTATAGGGTATAGGTCTAGTAGAGTAGAGCAGAGCAGAAGAGAAGAGAAGGAGGCTGTAGGGGCGGCGGTCACGGGCGGCGGGAGTGGTGGCGATGCGACAGGCGTATCGGGGCTGTGACGGGCGGTGATGGTGAGGTCGTGGCCGGATTATCAGCAGCGAGGGAGATGGCCAGGAGAGTCGTCGCGGTAGAGGAGGACGGGAGAGACGAGCAGGATGATCTCGGTAGCAAAAACGACCCTCTAGCTCCGTCTGGGGCTTTGAAGGAACATGGGCTGCGCTACGCTGACTTCGCTGACTAGGACATGGGCGCGCGCGCGGCCAGAGCGCTAGCCTGCTAGCCCTGCCAACCAAAAAGGACGCCCGCCGCCGCTCCACCACACCAGCCCAGAGTGCTGCACGCGCGAGATGGGCTGCAAGGCGTTTGGCTGCACCGCCTACAGCGCCTGCTATTTGCTGCTGCATGCCTCTGCGCGCACGCCTACCCACGTCCGCTGCCCTTCCGCTGCCCTGCCAAAACAAAGGCACCCTAAAGCGGCGGCACATGTCTGCAGCGCACTGCATGGGCGCGCGCCTCCGACGCTTCCATGCGATCCCAGCGCCGACGCCCACATGCACGGACGCTGCCCACGAACCACTACTGTGCGCAAGGGATGGTTCGACGTGATGCGAAGGGGGAGGCGGCCGCAAAAGACGTTGGCTGTCTAGCCGCACACCGCGTCGCTTTCGCGTTTGCATGTCTCCCGTGCATGTGACTGCCCGAATATGCGGGTGCTGGCCGTGAAGCACACTGATGCCCACACGGAACCCTCCTGCCATGCCTGAACGGAACCATCCCAGGCGGGGTCGGCGGGTACCCTCTGCCACCATCCGCGCCCCGAGCACCACGGTGACCGATGCCATCATGACATCCACCGCCCTCGACTCTGTTTGAGACGCAATCTCTGACCTCCATCTAGCCTCGCCCAGGGTCCAGCGTGGCTCGCGGCACAGCTGCTTCGACAAATCTTCGAGAAGCACCCTAGCCGTCGTCTAGTCCCAACATCATCTTCACAGGCATTCTATTTTCACCAAAAGTCCCTGCGTCTAGACACTCAATATATACACTGTGGCTGCGGCACTACTCCCGCGGCTCACCCTCTACGAGTCCTTGTCAGACGTGTCAGCGTCGTCCTCGCCTTCAACCGCTACGCGCCTCCCCTGAACCGCCTTTTCTACCTCAGGCACCAAACTTTCCATGAACTCGCGGTCGCGTCCGACTAGCGTTACCGTGTTGTGGTCCTTTCCCCACCTTGGGTAGCTTCCCACCTTGACCCCCTTCGGCTCTGCCTTGGCTGCGAGCTCGGTCAGATATCCAGCAACGGCACTCTCAGCCATCGGAGTCGAGATGAGGATCCGCAGCACGCCTTTGCCCTCCGGATCCGTCAGCCTAGGCAGGATGCGGGGCTTCAGCCCGTCCAGCATCGCTTCAAACAATCTAGGCACCCCGGGCAAAATATGGATGTTACCGTTCACAACGCTAACGGGAACCCAAAGCGACTCGCTGACAAAAACCACTTGATCTTCATCTGATTTAGAATCATCGATAGGCAGCTCCACCATGCGTTTCTTGGCTTTAAGCGCTGGAGACTCAACGTTCCAGTCAAAGTCGGGCTGAGACTTGTGCGGCTTCGACAGGCGCTTCATGCGCTGGAATGCTGCATCGTGTAACTTCAACGGCAAGCCGAAAGCCTTCGCTATCGACTGGTACGTGATGTCGTCGTGACTAGACGCCCATTAGCTCAGCGGCTGCGTGGTGTAGCGAACACGCTGCACTCACGTGGGACCAATTCCGCCGCTCGTCACAACCATGTCGTAATTCTTCGACATGCGTTGGACGGCTTCGATGATCTCGCCTTCGTCGTCAGCAATGACTTCGATGCGGCGCAGGTTGATGCCCAGTGAGAAGCAGAACTTGGCGAAGTAGGCCTGTGTGACATTAGTCGAGGTACCACGCCGTTGATGCGGCATAGTCTACCGAGTTCGTGTCGACTGTCTATGTTTCACGTCAGCTGCCAGAAATCTCAATCGATTCCCACATACATACCTTGCCTCCAAGGACTTCATCGCCAATGATCAAACAACCCGCTGTGTGAATCAAACTCTTCTGTTGTGTCGAAGCCATGACTGATGACGTTATCGATGGACGGAACGAGGCGGCAGAACGATGAGCAAAGTTGGGGATAGGACGAGACAAGTGCCTGGCAACCTGATTCAGTCGTCCGAACATGGATCAAGACGAGTAACTCAGGGGGTTAGAGGATATGAGTAGCTAGTTGCATGAGAAGAAAAGCCTTCTAGAAAGGTGAGGGTGTATCGACTTGACGGTAGTGCATTAGCTAGCGCCATCCGCGACCTCAGGAACCCCCGCCCAAGGACCCCGCTGACGAACGTATCCCGCCCGGCAGACTTCCTCAGCCCTACACCACCCCCGACCATCCTCAAACGCCCGCTGCCAACCTAGGTCTGCTGCATCGTGCGAAATCATGGCAAGTGCCGCCATCACTTCGCTGCTACGCGCGTCATGCCGGGTCGTCCGCTAATACTTCGGCCTAGTCTTCCGAGGCACGACTATACACCTTCTCTGAAGAGACCAAGTCCAAGCTACGCAAGTTCCGCCTGGGCACCTCGCGCGCCAAAGACCCCCAGGCCGTTATCTGTTCGTATACCTAGGTCTGCTTTTGCCGCAGTCGTTCCTGCCACAGCCAGCCGCGGCCCTGCCCTCTACAATGGCGCTGACGCCCATGCGCGCCAGACGAAATCGATAAGAAGACGCTCGAAGTACGCCAGTCGGACGATGAGGTCTACACCGACGTACAGAGTCTCGCCGATGAGCTCCCAGACCACGCACCGCGATTTGTGCTCTTGAGCTACCCGTTGACCCTCGTACGCCGCACCCACCATACACATCGCAAGGGAAGCTGAGACTTGATAGGACTCGGGACGGTTATCGGTACCATACGTCATGCTATACTACCTGCCCATCACATGCAACAGCGAGGTGAAGATGCTGTACGCCGGCGCAAAAGAGCTCATGCGGAACACAAGTGAGGTGAACCGCATCATCGAGATCGACAGTGCCGAGGATTTGGAGGAGATTGAAGACAAGTTGAAGGAGCAGAAGTAAAACAGTACGAGATGACGATGCGATGAGAGAGGGTATGGCACGACACATAAGCGCGCGCCGTTTGACTACACCGACTATGAGGACAATACCACCACGATCTCGTATCCGCACCAGATACCGCACCGTGTTCGGTTCACACTAGCAATGCTTGGTATTAGTCCTTGTTCGTACATGCCGACTGGAGATACCTGCGCTCATTTCTTGCTTCCGTTTTTCACCTACAGTGTCATAACACGTGTGGTAGCCGTTTCGGGCGATCTTGAACGATCACGATGTTGCTGCGTCACAGCTAACACTCGCATAGTCACAACGTCGCTTTCAGATAGATGCGATATCTGCTTAAAGCAGCATCGAGCAAATGCAGAGTGTGTGCCCAAGTCTAGGCGCAAGCCTGTTATCGCATCGTCGGACCCTCACCAATTTGTAACACCTATCGTCTATCTGTACCGGCCGTGTCCAAATCCTTTCACGCCACACGAGGCACTACGATTGGTCGGCGCCCCCATCTTCCTACAAAATTACATGTGGACCCCCACCAAGCTCAACCACGGCAGAAGACCAACAACGGCAAAAGAAAATCTCCGATGTGCACACCACGCTGCAATGTCTGCATGGGGAAGGTACGCTGACCCTTTTTCAACCTTCATATGTATGATTGCGGCACGTTCTCGTTTGTAGGGATGTTGACAAGTGTGCCCCCTGCCCCCGACTTTTGTGGAGACGTCTTGATCTGTCGCTTGCGCCGTATACAGCGCTTCGTACCGAACCCTGCAACATCAAAACGTTGAAATATGGGAAACGGAAAAACTGCTGCAAGTCGTAGGGATCGGCAGCGAAAGTTTGGCTCGGTAAATTATCTCATGATATGTTGGAGAAGACTTTGCGCGCACGGGAGGATACTGCACGCGCGTTGGGCTCTGAGGATCGTGAGGACTGGGTTCAGGAGATTGTGTTCGAAGCGATATGAGCACCCAACTAAAGCGGCCTGTTCCTCGAGTCAACGCGCCTACGACTTACAACGCGACGTTTGCGGGAGAACATCATGTCACTGTTGCGTTCTCTGCAAGTATGTCGGCAACGATGGCACGGGCGTTGGCCAGCCTCCACCTCATACTGCGCGGTATAAATCGACGGTATAGATTTCACTCGGCATACGGGTGGGAAGATTACGATTCTGCAGCTTCCTCCACGAGCGTGTTGTAAGATCAGTGGTCGCTTCACCCGACGCTGTCACCGTCTTTGCTTTGCGAGCAGCTGGTGACAAGCTCGTCTCTGTGTTGCATCGAAGATACGTCATCAGTCGCGTCGCAAGATCACGACGCGTCTGTTCTGGAATTGGACTAGTATCGCTTCTGGAAGCGTGTCATAGTACCGAGCGTGCGATGCGCAGGTCCTGGAAGGGCATGTGCGCACAGTAATCACGAAGACTTGTATGTCTGAAACATATCATATTCGAGCTGATGTCGATCATCCTTCGCCGGAACAACGCGACGCCAGCAGTAAGGCCTCTTCATCCGAGCTCGCTTGATATCGAGCCATGACCTCTCATCACCCAAACCATCACGTCTACCCGAAGAACTCTGTGAGACTGAGCAGCAAAACATGCCTGTTCAGAAACCTGCTCTTGCTCAAGACCGCGCGTGCTCTCACGTCTAGATTTGACACAAGAATCATCATCTTGCGCACCACATGAGCCTTATTGTACTGCCCACTTGCTGCGTTTTCGGAGGCTTGGCCCGAAGCGATAAAGTACGTAGGGAATTGGCAGTGCTACGACACTGATGATACCAAGCAGAGTCAAAGTCCAATGAGTCCCCAAGTTCCTGTACATTGGAATACCAACAACAGTCATCCCACCAGCTGCAATATATCGGACCAGCGCGACAAACGTCAAGGCCGATGCTGCATATGCTTCGTAGCTGTCGATGATGTACATGTACGCGGACATGAAGATGCAAATGTTGCTGAAGCCAACGAGCAACGACGCCGCTAGAGGCGACCATATCGACACCGAAGCCTAAGGCTGGTTAGACGTCTGCATAGAGAGTGAGAGACAGGCATAGCGTATACTTACATAGTCAGTCCACCCCATCCAGAAGAGACCAATAGGCAGTGTAGGTGCTCCAATCATGGCAAAGAACAATCTTGACTCGCGGTGTATAGCTTTACCGGATCCATCATCTCCATCCTTCTCAAGTTGTCGCACGGTTCTGCGGTATGCAACTGGAACAAGAAGCGCGGAAAGAGCTATGCCGATGAACAAACCAACGAAGCAGATGTTGGATAGCCCCTCGTTGATTTCGAAGGTCTCCGCAAAGATGAAAGGGTAGCTGCAAGAACGTTAGCAGTACTCTTCGCGTTTGCCGGTTTACGATCTCTAAAAGTCACATACCCATCCAAGAACGTGAACAATATGATGTAGACAATCATCAAGTAAACAGTAAAAGCCACGACGATTGGCTGTGTGCAGAGAAGAAACGGTCGAAGAAAAGATCTGGATATGAGGTCGCCGATAGAGCCATGCGATGCCTCTGTCGCAGTGAGGAAACGATTGTTCCCTGTGAACTTCCGGAAATGATGAGCTTTGTAATGTAAGAGACGCGGTGCGAATGATTCTCTTTTGAAGATCAGTATCAGCGTGAAGGTTACTCCGATCAAGATCAATGTTATCCACTCGGTCCATCTCCAGCTGACATCCTGCTCGTAGCCGATGTAAGCACCTATCACTGGACCTGTTTTCATGTGTGGTTAGTAAGGCCGAAGAAGCAGGTTGGAAACGGAGACTCACCCAAGACTGGCCCACCGAACGCGGGTATCGCGAAAAGTGGAAAGGCGAATGTCTTTTCCACTGGACTCCATAGGTCCCCCACAGAGCCGCCCGCAACCGTAAGAGGCGTACTAGCAGAAAAGCCAGCTAGGAATCTGAAGGCAATCTGGGCCCCAAAATTCGGGGCTAAAGCGGTTCCTAGAGTCCAGCACGCGAAGACGAGGAGCGAACCAAGATAGACTGGATATCGTCCGAGGAGCTCCGAGAGCGGGCTATAAATGTGAAAATACAATGTCAGTCTATATCTTAGATGCAATTCGTTCGTCCCAACTTACCTCAGCAAAAGAGCCCCGAAGCCGAAGCCTACCAAAAAGAGTGCAGTAGCCAACGACTCCGCTACCTCCGAAACCCCAAACTCAGCGGACGCTCTGGTGAGAACAGCAGAGTCGATGGAAGATGCGAGTGTCGCAACGAAAGCGACAAGGCATACGAGTAACGTCGCACCAATACGGTGTAGGGTTGAGAATTGCTTCGGGTTGTGCTGGTCATCGGGCCCGCTCCAATCAACCTGGTAATACAGCTCGTTGTTACCATCTTCTCTCAGCGTGATGCCCGGAATCCGAGTGAATGGTTCACCTTTTTCCAGCTCTTTAGGTAACGATGAATCCCCCAACCCACGTGCCTCAAGAGGCAAACGTGTAGTACGAGCAGTCAGTGGGTCTGAGACTTCAGTCACGCGTTCTAATTCTTCCTTCACGTGTCGCTGGAGCGCTCTGTACTGTAAAAAGAACGCCATAATAGGAGAAAAACAAAAAGGTAGCTAAAAAAGATTATAGGGTCTAATCAGAAGACCGTTTCGCATCCTTTTAGGAGCTTGAGAAAACCGCCACGGGCTTTATCTCCGTGACGTGACGCCCGCGAGCCATCATCGGAAAGGGCAGGAAAGCCTCCGACACATAAGCAAAACGCTATGCTTTTAAAATCGGGGCCTCCTTCGAATGCTTGTGACGGGAGATGCGAAAGTGGGTTTTCGCTGGAGACTTTTTGTTGTGTTCATGGCTAGAGCCTTCGGTTTAGCGTCGCCCATGCTCCCCGAGGCAGCGCTTTTCCTGAAAAGGCGATGGACCTGACGTAGGTCGTCGGGAATAATTGTTCGTGCCGCGATCTTTTCTTCCAAAGCACGATAGTATGGAAGGGACTGGGCTTTGTAATGTTGGTGTTTGCATGAACTATGCTTTGCAAGAATTAACCGATGAAGGCGGCTACTGCTTTACGTGATGTGCGCGCGAGAGGGTGATCAACAGTCGTTTTAAGAATGACTACGTCGGCTCGTGAGTACCCTTTTCCCCATCTTAAGGTTGAGTCATTGATCTTCTGACGATAGAGCCTTGCGATGGTCACGAAAGACTGCTCACCTTTGGTAGACGCGTGCGCGGTCGTGACAGTGTCGGCAGCCTCGGTAGCCTCCGCGGAGCAAATGTTATTGGCTGTTGCCTTATCATTCTCAAGCATGGCCGCTGCTTCCACTTCATACCAGAAAAAGGCTGAACAGGTCTAGGGCCTACACTAACGTTAGGTCATCTACTTTGCAGGCTTGCATGTTAATGTAGGCTGCAGGCCTGGCTTTGAGCTTCACATCAAGCTATAAAGAGTTGCATATATGGTATAAAATCGTCCTTTACCATTCCACAAGCTATGTAATAGTCCAGCAGAGATCTTGAATATCGAAGACTAAGTCATGCTCTTGAGATTAAGCCCTTTCCACGTTCTCAGTCTTCGCCGCGGTGTACTCAGCGTTGGACTGGAAGCCACCTTCTGGGAGTTTGTCAAGTGTGTCATTCTCTCGGTCCAAGCTGCGGAAAGTCCAGGCAAAACCAACCCAACCAAGGAACGTAAGGATGGCAATGCTCATGTACAGCCACACGAGCAATGGATCACCAGCCAACGGCACAAAGGCCTGAGCGATAGCAGACGAGAAAGCATGCGTGAACCAAAACATGCCAGTCACTAAAGATCGCATGTTCTTCGGTGCTTTGGAGAACGCGTATTCAAGTCCCGTGATGCTGGCGAAGATCTCCGAGAATGCGATGAGAATGTATGCAGGAACCTGAGTCCACACTGAGAGATCCGGGGGCTGATCGCAGTCTGTTGGAAACTCCCCGCATGGCGATTTCTGGTAGATGAAGTGTTGGATGACTGCTGCAACCACCATGGAAAGCATAGCGCAGACGAAACCAGCTTGTATCTTCTTCAAGGGTGTGAAGTTGATGCCCATGTGAGCCAGCCTCGGGTAGATGAATTTGTCGAATATCGGAATGCAAATCAGCAATGTGAATGGGTTCTATGAGCAATTCTCGTTAGACTTCTTCTATCGTGTATTGAGGTGTTAAAATCATACCAGGTTATGTACCACATCATTTGGTACTCCATTGAGCTTCATGGTGGACGCCTGTGAAACCAGGTTACTGGTCCTTGAAGACGGTCAGCGCTTGTCTTACGTGGATCCAAGGTGCCAATGATACTCACATTTGACCATAAGGCAGCCAAAAGATAGGCAACCAGAAGAATACTTGACAGGCCTTGATGCCACGTCGAACTTCGTCCACCCACGCGTCATCGAAAGTCATCCATACTGGCTTGTTGGCGACTTTGCTTGGTTTTGCAGCGTCCCAAATGTTCGGATCAGAGAGATTCCTCCACGTACGTACGGGATTGAGCGAGAAGCGCCCCTTGAGAACCAGCCCGTATGTTCTCATGGACTTGACCAGCACGTCACCTTGTGGGGGTTTCTTGACGTAGTGCTTGCTGAGGGTGACCATTAGAAGTGGGCAAAGAGCAAAGAGGATAGTTGGTAATGTGAAGGAGAGCCAGAAGCCGACGTATTTCTCGGCATATACTGTAATGAACGTCAGCTACCGCATGGCACGGTTCATCGAATATTACTTACCCATAGAGACTTGGCCAACCAGCGCACCGACATTGATCAGAAGGTAGTAACGCATGTATACTCGGGAGTATGTGATGCCTGGGTCGACTATAACCCGTTCACCATTGGGCTCGGTACGAATAAAAGCCCGCGGATGACTAGCCTCATATTGCTCCGCAATGAGCGGAGAGATGCAGCATTTGAAGAAGCCCCTGCAAGTGGTTAGCATATGAATTGAGTTCGTTCCGTGCGGAGACACTTACACACCGGTGCCAAATAGAATCAGGCCCAGAATGAACGAGGCAAGAGCTCCTTCAGGGTTTGGTCCCATGACCTGAGGGATCGCGGCAATGATGATTAAGATATGGCCAAGTGTAGCAACGGCAATGGCGAAGTAAATGGTCTTAAATTTGCCCCAGTATTCGTCAGCAACCCAACCGCCTGACGAAAAGAATTAGTACATTTCCTGCTCGGGGACAAATATTATGCTTACCAACTAGCGGCATGATGTATGAGAAGAATGAGTTAAATTGAACAAGGCCTGTGCTAGCACGCTGGCCCATTCCAAGGGCTCCTGGTTGACCGTCGCCGGCAGCGCCAGCTTCAGGGAAGGGTCCTGACGTGGGGAGGTCTCTCTGGATGAAGTTGACAAAGACGGCGGTCGTTCCGTAGTAAGCAAAACGCTCACACATCTCTACAACACCGATGATGTAGACTAGTAGTGGGTTGGTACGTCAGCGCATGATACATAAAGGCCCTGTAGAAAAGATGTGCGTACTCATCCAATTGACTTTACCGTACACACGACGAAGCTTTCCCCAGTCTTCTTCGGTAGGGTATTGCTCGCCATTGGGGCCAACAAGACTCTCTGAAGTTGACACAAACCTGTCGTGCTTCTCCAAGCTCGCACTGCCCCGTGTGTCGTTGTGAAGACGAGGTGCATTCGCCAATGCGGCGTCAACAATCTCGAGATTTGCCCCTGTAGACATGGCGGCAGGTTAAAATGTGATTTTCTCGAACACTTCGGCCGACACGCCGGGTTATATAAAGCTCTATGGCATCTTCCTTTGGATTGCGAGCTGCCTCATTCAGCAAAGTCGTGGCACTGTATTACCATTCACAACGTCCTCGGCACCAGACAATATTCCCGGTACCCTGATCGCCCAGAGATAACTGTCTGTAAAAGGCGCTCGGTACTCGCTCGAATTCCATCCTACATTCTTGGATTTCTGGGTATCTCGGATAAGCGGCTGGCGCCGAGCGTTGCTAACGGCTGCGCCGTTCTTGAACGTTTGTGACCTGATCTTGGCAGGCATTTCAATACCAGGCCAAGCATATAGCACCCAATGAAAAGCAAAATGAGATATGAAGGGGTTGTTGGCCACCTAGTAGTGAACCCAGACGGTCGGACGTCCAAGATCTGACAATATCTTGACAAACCCTACATCGCGACCTTCCTCATCAAGCAATGTGGCAACCCTTATCCTGAAGATCTGCTCCGATAGATGTTGCCCAAGTGACCTCGGGAGTGTTGAATGTTTCCATCATGTCTTACTGTTGCTCTCGGGCGTAACGAAGCCTTCGTCACGGCGGTCTGGTTGAGCGGAAGGTAGCCTGTCAATGACCGACTCGTTCGGACGGCTGCGTCGCCATGCATCAGGCCTTGAGAAGCAAGGAAGGAGGCGTGAAGGAAACCATCGGCATAACTACTACCATCCTGAAAGAAAGGTGTGGACTGGTCGCGGTGTCCTTGTTCAAGCGCCAAGCATGCCCCGCCTGAACTAGGCAGCTTTTGGCTGTCGCCCCCTCTCTTTCCGCACCCACCTCCAGCGCTGCGCAGCGTTCATCTCTCAGGCGCTACTGAAGCGTCGCTTCGCAGACCGATCATCAGTGCTGATTGCGAGCGATAGATCCCCAACGGCCACCTTCACATTCCTTGCATATCTGGCAAATACCCTAGGTCACGTTGCTGACTTAATGACTAAAGAACGGTCCCGGTGGTACGCTTTCACTAACAATAATTGCTTAGGAAGTTTACGATTGTACTGATCAAGCATATCTCTTCGCCAATCAAGTTGATTCATATGAAGTTGATTCGATAGTCCTGCCTTATCCGCCACATCGCTCCTCCACCACTGTATCATGATCGTTCCTGACTAGAGCGATAAGCAAGCAACTCTTGTTCAGTTTGCCTCAGCTTCTCCCTTTCAGATTCCAGTCTCTTTCTCCGCTGATCATTCGAGCCCTTCTGCGAATCCTTCTCCTTATCGTAAGCCAAAGGATGGTTTACAAGCAGCCGAATCTTCCAGTCTTCAAATAACACGTCTTTCGCAACTCTTTTATTCCAAAGCAGTGCATTTACTACATTCTGCATACGCTCTGCGCACGTCGCATCAGCATCAGCCTCGAGGCCACGATGGGGTTTCAGGGCTTTGTTGAACTGAGCTGGCCCTCGGAAGCCACTCTTGCACCGGTCGATTAAAGCTGAGAAGATTTCGCGACACGTCGCCTCGAGCAGTAGAGAGTCGTACGCTTCTGGTCGGAACATCCTAGCTGCGCTTGAGTTCTCAGGATCCTTGATGTCTTCGAGATTGATCATGGCCAGGACGAGCTTTCGTACCCAGAATTCGGCATGCTGTTCTACATCTGGGATCGAGACATCAGAGCGAGGGTCTATTTGAGGCGCTCGTTGCACCCTTCGCCTATATTCTCGAGCGTTATCCCACCGACTGCTGGTGACAGGAGCCGGTGCAGTGCGATTGGGAGTTACCGGGTTTTGGCCGAGTGGTGAGAACATCGTGGGTGGAGGTAAACTTGTGTATGATTGTGGAGGATGAAGTTTGCAGCGTCTCTGCCCTGCAAGTCGGCAACTCATATCAAAGTGTGGGTGACATGTGAATGTTAGTATGTAACATGAGGCGTATGCTGATTATTGACGGTTCAGTCGCTGCTGGTTAGATGCGGAACCTGCAGGTATTATGCACGTAGTGATCTGGCAAGTACATTCATGTTCCGGTGTCTGGCACAACGCAGTGAATTTGATGAACTCGATGGTTGTGAATTCCGCTATGTCATTGACGGCGCCCGCTTCCTTGAGCTCCCTACGGTTAAACCAGGCTTTCATAGCGTTTGCGCTGTGCCGCACTGCCACACAGTGCATTCGGTCCACACTAGGAACTCGTTATCACGCGCATCTGATCTTGAACCTCAACCCCAAAAACAGGTGACCAGAAGTTTAATACCTTTTCCGCTGGCACAAAACCACCAAGGTTCATCCGAGCAAGACATGTACTAGGGATGCTAAGAACATCAAGCATGGACACAGGAACAAAGGCTCCGTACCCCTTATCACGTCCTAATACACCATCGCGGATAGAGCCTTTGGAAGGCTCTTCGTCTGTACAATTCATGGCATCACGGCCAGTGCAGTTACCGCCACCGTCCTCTTCTCTCACACAGCCAACTCTGTACGCAGGTCGACACATGTGGGAGTATCCGTCTAGAGATAATATTGGATCACAATGTCATCCAGGGGCCGCCGCCGCGGAGAACAATTTCGGCAGAACCCAACCGCTGGCATACTCGTACAAGACCTTCATGGGCGATATCCAGTCTAGTGAACAGCACTCGATCGATATGCCCGACCATAATGAGTATGTTGGGCCAATCATGGATAGGGAAAGAAGAGAATATAGTTTTGCGCGATCACCACCATACCCCTTGCACGGTCACGATGTGAACGAACATCCCAAGAGCGCTATGCATGGTAATAATAGTGGCCTGATCCGTCAGCCAACGGCAGAAGACTTCCTTCGACCCGATCATCCACTCCCTGCACCGCCGGCTGAAGAGTACGACTCGGACCAAGATCTTCCAGTGATTGAGCCAGACTCATATCTTCCCGAAAGCTCCAACCATACTCACTTGGGCGATCTCTCTCACCAACCAGTGGCTGCCCCAAAACGACACTCCACAACTGCTGCTGCCGCCAAAACTACACGTATACCAGAAGAGAAATTGAAGCACAAACGCCCGCAGTCCGGGATCATCACACCTTCAAACGCATCAGCTCTTGACCACGAATCAGCAGTGTCAGAGCATCACAGTACACCTGTACGTGTGCCGACTATCAGCAGTGACATGTACCAGCCGGCTCTGGGTGGTTTGCAGCGAGTATCAGGTGTGCAGCGTAGGGATTCAAAGCGCGATCGCGTCAAGCGTTTCGCAAAGAACTTGAATCCCTTTCGTCATCAACGAAAATTTGGGCGTCCAGAGAATTAAGAAGTTGGCGGGCGGAGACAGAGGTTACACTGAATGCGCCCTTCTTGTCGCAAGTGGTCCTCTCTGATGCACCTAAGTGCAAACTAGTGATATGTATCGCACAGTTTTCAAAATTGAGAAGCTGAGGCTAGAACAAAACGAGTGCGGCCTTGAAGAGAGGCAAGTAGCGGTGGCAAGCGTTGATGTTCTGGGAAAACATCCAGTTTCTAGAAATAGCCTAGTTTGCATACCGAGCCAGCCAAAGTCTGGGTGCGAAAGAAAGTAATTAAAATAGAAGTAATTAGTCTATACAATGACGAAGTGCGGAAATAGTGAGAGAGTCTGGTGATGGTATTGCAACACGATGCACAACCCCACTAGCGTTCCAGCCGTGCCTTCTTCTCTGGCCCAAGCCCCACCTTCCATATCCCTCAGTTCAGTTACAAATATCAATTTTCCGATCGTTCTTGGTAATCGCGACCCACCCAAGGCAAACTCTCCGGAATCGAAGCTACTGTCACATTCACAATGCTACTGTTCAAATCGTCCAGCCTGCAGGGTGCAGCTGAACACCTGTTACGCCTCCACATGCCATTCACACAAGCGTACGTTTGACGGCATCTCCACGCCTGATTTGGGTGTTAAATAGTGCCGAAGAATGGTATGGTGTGACGTCTAAAGTAGTCAGAGGAGTAGCGCATCATCTCCAGGACCACAATACATGGGAAATAGGCGCGGGGGCAGTTTAGGAGTGGACTGAACGCTTATGAATCAATCCACTTGGTCCTCAGGTCTCCAATGGTCAAGTGCAAGATGTTTGTAGCAATTGATATTGGAAAAGATTATCACGATGCTACTTCCCCGCTTGTTGCCCATGATTCAAACCCTCACAAAACAGTATCCGTCTATTCGATATCCGAGTCTAGTCAGGAGCTGGACGCGATCGTCGGTGCTTGCGGGGCGTCTTGGGTTGTGCGCTCTATGCCTCGAGGTTGTTCTGGATAGCGGTCTCGAGGGCCTTGGGGTTGGCACCAACGACCTCGGCAACCTTGTCGCCGTTCTTGAAAAGGATGAAGGTGGGCATGGCGCGGATGCCGAGCTTTCCTGCAACCTCGGAGAGTTCGTCGACGTCGAGCTTGTAGAAGCGCGCGCTGGGGTACTTCTCGGAGAACCTAGAAGACGGTTAGTCGCGGCTAGCTGCCAGGGCAATGCGGATACTTACTTGACGACCTGGGGAGCGATCACTTTACAAGGGCCGCACCATGTCGCGAAGCAGTCGAGGACCATGAGGGTGTCCTTCACAGCCATGGCCTCGTCGAAGTCGCTCGTCCTACGATGCCGTCGCGTCAGCGCATGCCGATGGCGTATGACGTCGCGCATTTCATATGAGATGCGACGGGAATGACTCACTTCATGAGGTTGTGTACACCCTGCTTTTCGTCGCTCATTTTGGCGGTGTTGGAGAAGAACTTTTGGGTGAAGAGTGGTCGGTAGAGGTTTGCGGTCGATGTGGGGTGGATAGCTGTTCGCAGACGCGCAGATGTGAGCAGTGTTCTGGTGGCTCGGAAGGACGACGGCGCAAACATAGTATATGTAGAAGGGTAATGAGACAGCAGGGGAAGGCGATTTCAAAGAATTCGGCTGATGGAATGAACTGGCCGCCGTTGCCGATAACAATTCTGATGCGCTTATTTTTCGGCAAAGCCGTTCGAGTCCCTGCGCAAATCGA